CTCTTTCTACCACCTCTCTCATTTCACTCTCTAACCAAGCTATAAAAAAACCCAATCAGTCTCCCAATCTCTCAACCCATTTTTTCAATCTCCTGAAATCTCTCGGCCAATTTTTTCACCTCTTCCCCCCGAAATCTCTCTCTGTGCATTTTTTCTACTCCTAAAATCTTTCTCTGAAGAGAAAGAAAGATAAAGGGGAGAGTGAGGATGGGTAGAGAGAAAGAAATAGAGAGTGAGGATGGGTAGAGAGAAAGAAATAGAGTGAAGGCGGGTTGAGAGAAGTGAGGGCGGGTAGAGAGAGAAAAAGAGATAGAAAGACAGGTAGAGAGAGAAAGAGAGATAGAGGGGTAGGTAGAGTGAGAGAGAGAGAGAGACAGGACGGGTAGAAAGAAAGAGGGGGTAGAGAAAGAGATGATGGGTGGGTAGAGAGAGAGAGGAGGAAAACATTTTAGTCTCAAATTTTTTTGCTTTTTGACCAAGAGTAAATACAAAAAAAACAATTTTTTGATCTAGGGTGTGATACTAAAAGTATTGGAAGGGAGGATGTTTACAAAAGTCATTTTGAGGGTATCCATAATTTACTCTTGTTTTGATTTGTTAAAAATATTATTAAAACTCAAACACTATTAGACAATTGTGACCATTTGTTGGACTTTGGACAATGATGAACCACATGTGAAATACTGTATTAAGTACACTAATTAGTGTTTTAAGGTGTTTTCCTGTTATAATTAATTGGAAGTTCTTCTCTTGCTGATCAAACAACAATCTGAACTACATTCCGAACAATGAATGACACTTTCTTTAAACATACACAAAAAGAACATTGAATAAATCTCACAATGGACAGGCGAGTAAGAAGTCGCCAGTAGCCACACATACATGATGAACACTCGTATTATCATACAGAATCGCTGATATGTTGCTTCATTTATATAGTTGAAAGTCCAGAACTCCTTCTCAAATGTTGCAGCTATCATATCCATTATACCATGCGGAGGGCCTGTCTTCCCCTTCATACGTAAACATTTCGAATTCCTCTTTCCATCCTCGGTCACCAAAGCTCTTAGTATCTCCTCCATCATCAAACTTGGGTCTCTCACTGTAACTATCCTTGTATATTGTTGGCGGCCTCAGAGCTGACTTTGGGAGCTTAGACTCTGCTAAGAACTGGTTCAATGCAGCAATCTCCTTCGAATGCTTTTTTTTCAATTTCTCGACTTCTTTTTCTGCAGCCACCCCTCTCTCCTGCAATGCCCATTATTAAACAGATAAACTTGAAATGTCAAATGTTACTGTGGTATGAAGCTTTGTTTCAATGTATTAGTTTATGATTTTTTAGTCCACTGAGAATATACCCCAAAAATAAAGGACAAGCAAAAAAAATTACAGGCAATGGTAATTGGTACACTGCAGGGGCATCCACTGCCAATTGTAATAGTGGAGACTGGAGATAACCCCAGGTCTTCACGAAACTAGATTTAATATCCGCCATCCACTGGTGATTTAATCTCCAACGTCCCTCATTGTATGGTAGTTTGTCCCAAAGAAAAATATTAAGACCAAGGAAAATTAGTAGGAAACAACACTGGTAACAAATTTCTATATTTGAAACCTTGCTGATTTATTTCTCAGGTAATTTTCAAAATTTTAGTTTTCTTATGGAAAGTCTGAGAATTTTTTTTGAAAAACTTTGAACTCATTTTCACCTAGAAAGTAGAGAGTTAAAGAAAAACATGCAGGCCACAGTAAATTATACACACAGAAGGGGCATCCATTGCCGATTCTTGATGATGGATGGCGGAAACTGCAGACAAGTCCAAATTACTGTCTTCACCAAACCACATTTAAACTCCACTATTCTAATAGAGTCCTGGATCGCCTGGCTATACACCAGGCTGTGTGTGAAGGCCAAGGAGAAATAATAAGGAAACAACAGTTGTGACAAATTCCTATATTGAAACTTGCAGATTTGGTTCTCAGGTAATTTTCAAAATTTCAATTTTCTAGGGGAATTTTGAGAAATTTCTTCAAAAAAGATTTGGTTCTCTCAGGTAATTTTCAAAATTTCAATTTTCTAGGGGAATTTTGAGAAAATTTCTTCAAAAACTATGAATTTAATTTTGTCAAGAAAGAAGAGTAAAGGGAAAAACTGTGGGCAACAGTAAGATTATATTTTCTAGTTAGACTTTATTTTATGAACAAATATTAATTTGAAATTTTTTCAACTTTATCTCTTCCGGCAAATCACCACAAAAATGTAGAAAAATAAACAAGAGGGAAAGGCACTTTATAGCAAACTAGCAAGGGAAATCTCATTCTTTTCTAAATTATAATATTTTCATGAGACTTCAAATGATACGAGACATTTAATAAGTCCAACATGCTATGAGAAACAATAGTCCACTTGCAATGTCCTATGAGATGATGGATGATGGAGAGAGTGGGACCTATCACTGGTGTAATGTCTCGTTCTGGGGTGGGTCCTCATCTCTCTCCATCATACCATTGTTTCATTGGACTATGGTTTCAATATGGTCCAATGATCCTTTATTTTTCCATAGTCTTTTCTATATGAAAGAGAAAACTAGGCCACCATTCCCTCACCTGAGCAACAAGGACAGCCTCTTCCGCTTCTTTAAGCCGCACAAGCAGCTCGCCAGCTGCTTGAACTGCCTCGGCTGTATCTCTCAACTGTGCTTGCAACCCCTTATTCTCGTCTCTCAAATACTGTCTCTCTCTTTCTTTCTCTACCTTCAAAGCCGAGATCTCAGCTGCAAGAGTGTCAATGAAACGGGACTCAGCGCCCTTGACTCCTGCCTTTGCAGCTGCCTTCTTCACATCTGAAATCCCTTCCCTTATCTTCCGATGCCTCGCAAGCAAGGCAATGTGCTTCTCTTGGAGGTCAGCATATTGATCGAGGATTCGAGCATGGCCCTCCATGGCTGTTTGCAAGGCCTCTTTCAGCTCCTCTGAACATTTCTTTTCAGCGTTTAGTTCAAGCTCCCTCTTCTCTGCTAGTCGCCGACTTGCTTCGAGGTCGAGTCTTAGTTCTTCAGAGAGAGAAATCCACTCACTCTCTCTCTCTATCCACTTCTCCCTCTCCTGTTGAAGCTTTTCTTCAAGGTTGTTCTCTAATAGGGAACCTGTAATTGTTGAGAGAGGACCAATGGAAGCTGGCGAATTGGGAGTTGTAGAGAGAGGAAGTGAAGCTGATTGGCTTGTATGGGTCAATTGTAAGGGGGGAGAGCGACCCCAGTTTCGGGTTGAGACTTGAGAGGAAGAATCAATGTAAGACTGAAGCTGGTTCCTCAGATGATGAACCTCCTCCATCAACACCTCTCTCTCTCCTAGATCAAAGAAGTTTCGGTACTCATCCAGCTCCTCTTGCAATCTCTTCAGCTCTATATTCGCCCTTAGAACCTCAGGGTGGTTATCATATTTTCCTTTCAGAAGCTGTTCAAAATAATCCACTTTATATTAAACACAAAATGAGTTCAACTCCTTAAACAAATTAAGCTAGAAGTAAAACTTGCAGAAAACCTTGATAGAAGGACATGAAAGTTGCCAGTTCAACTAAAACTTGCATACCCTATGTTCATTTGTCAGTGAAAGGAACTCCTCTTCCATGAACTCCTCAGCAGGGAGAACTCCATCCATGAGGCCCTCCAATCGTAAGATCTTATCCTCCCGTGTCTGTTCAATAATGGCATTACATTCACGTTCATGTTTGTATTGCTGAACCTGCAAAACCCAAGCAAATTGTCAATAAAAACAAAAGGACAATTACGGAGATATTTACCACACAAACTGCGTATAGTCCATATAGTATAGGCTCATCCCCAACTGGAACTGGGTCGGAGCGCCAAGTGGCTTTAGATTCAAAGGGTTCAGCTATAGCCCAATACGAGGGAAAGGTCATTTATACTGATACTGAAAAGATCCTTTAATCAGGGAATGGAAAACATCCATCTTGAAAATGGATGGTGGCAATGAACCAAGGCCCCGCCCTAAAAATCATCCATCAAACAGGGGAGCAATTCAACACAATTGCCCATCTTAAAGATGGAGAGTTTGGGGTGAACCTTACGACATACACATTATACATGTTATAATGTGGTAGTATGCTTACTAAATAAGTAGTGGGGGCATCATATAAAGAGATGAAAAGTAATTAAGATTTTGAAACCTACCAAACGATTTAGCTGCTGAATTTCAGCAGCTTGCTTGCCACAGAACTCTTCCAATGCCATCTCTCTCCTAATTGCACCAGCCAAGACCTTTTCGACCGCCTGAACAAGAGTAATAATAAAGCATTTCATGGAAGGAACAACAGGGCAATATAAAAGGAGTCAGAGTTGTGTATCACGTGCATACTTACTTTGGGAACTTGATTTTTGGAAGCTTCGGTTATCTGTGATCCATCAACAGGAACCAACTGCATCTCTGTGTTATCATCCCGCACTTCATTGAGAGTCAGAGCAGTGCGACACTTGCATGAACTACACAAAAGCACAGAAAAGTCTTGTGAGCCTACTGGCTCATCTGGCAAGGTCTGAACTCCTGCGTCAACCTTATCAGCAGCTTGAAATGGTTTGAGGTCCAAAGCCTTGACTGAGAACCTAAACATAGATCTCCTCAGACCCGAGGTCTGCTGATGATTATCAATAACTTGTAGCCCACGTTGGAGACTCGCAGCTAAGGCCTCAGTTGGAGCCATGACAAAGTTCTTACTCATTTGAGTAGAAGGGCCATTAGCAGGAGTAGAGCTCACTGGCTGTGCAACACTAGGACTTTCATTCAATGGAGATAGATTTGCAGACCTCCTTAAACTTTTCCTACTCTCACTAACAACTCGGGGTGACAAGCTTGGGGTTGGAGATTGAAGGATGGGGGATACTGGGCTTGGTACAATGCTGAGATTGGACATTGTAGAATTTGGTGTGCTTGGTGATGAATTGTTCTGTGGGTCTACCACCACAAGGTCTTTACAAGAATCCCCATTTAGCATGAGACCATTCTCTGAGTTGGGTAATACTGAGACTGAAGGATCGGGGATATTGGGTTTGGTATAATGCTGAGATTCAGCAGGTTCATTTTGTGTATCCATTGCTAAATACTTTTCTTGTTGGGCAATGGCAATTTCCTCTGTTTGGGTGTCTTCCATTGTAACATCATTCTCTTCTGAACCCTGCTCACTGATACAGCCATTAGTGAGAGAATCACTTAGAACTGACTTGGTACTACTATCTGAGCTTTTTGAAACTGCTTGCTTCAAATCATTTTGGGTTTCTTCCGATATTACAGGAAGTGTGCCGACAAAATTGTAAGAGATGGGTTGAATAGATGAAGAAGGCTTCTCCACATCATTCTCATCTATCTCCATTTCCTCATCACTGTCATTTTCAACATGGGGTAGTGTTAATGGACGGCTCAGGCTCAACCTCAGTAGATTCAAGCTTCTGCGTGCATTCCATCCTGTTGAGTATCCCCCATTACCATCTCCAGGGCTATTTCCACCATTAGACTTCATTCTTATAAGTTCATCCTGTCAATGAATACCAAAAATAAAATATTTATATCCACTACAACAAACAATATTGATTGTTTTTCTCAAAAGAGAAGAATTGGGTGAGAAGAAAAATAAGGGAAATATGCTGAGAGAGAAAAAGAGAGAAGTGCATACTTTTAATTGGCGTATCTGTTCTCGCAAAACATTGACATCATCCTCAGTTGTTTCATTCACAACCGCCTTGTTCTGTATGGCCTTAGCTCGTTGGGCAAACCTCAGAGTGCTCAATGTTTCACTCTTACAACTACAGTATGAAAATACTGATTAGAATCAGGGAAAACTGGTTTTTTAAACAGTAAAACCTAAATCTCTAACCAGTAAATAAAGTCTTGACAAGGATTTTAAGACAACCTCTGAGCCGGAGATATTGCACATATCATAGCTAACTTTGCGTTCCCACCTAGGGACTCTTGCAACAAGAAAGTCAACCGAGAATCCCTGTATGGAATGTGTCTCTGCTTTCCTGTCTGGGAAACTTCTGCAAGAATATTAATCAAATTCCTGCACTTACCCAGAGCACAAAAACTATCAGCAACCCCAAATATGCCACTGCTCCCAGTTCAAAGAAACAGTTTATTGAACATCAAAATGGAACAACTATTCAGAATGCATGCACAGAACAAATCTATAGGTTAGTGGAGCCATTTAACAGGGATCTATACAAATGGCCAACTGTATCTACAACAACCAATCAAAGAATCTCAAATAGTTGGTTCTTTTTTTTTATTTACTATGAAGCATCCTGAAAGGAAATCATACTTTCATATAACCATCCATTCTATAAGATGAGCTCCAACTATGTCGGTTTGCATATTGCACTGAGTACATATACTCATACCATATTTATTTGTACATGCCTGCAGTATTGTACAGTAACTGGTAGAACTATAGTGGCATTTGATCTGCGATTTTATACCCAAATCATTGTTGTGACTAAAAGATCTACCAAAGGAGACTACAATGACACATGATATTAGGTTGAAACTATCCAGACCAGTGGATCAAGTTGTATCATGACCCTATATAATATAAAACAATTGTTATTCTCAAGAAAACTGAAGCATTCCACAGATTTCCAACTGGAAATATGAAAACCATTCTTACCCTAGCTGTGAAAGAGATCGGTTTATATTTCCTGCTTCTTTTAGGCGTTCCCCTGCTGCACCTGTGAGTTTTTGTCTTTCAGATCCAGCAAGATCTACAAGGTTGATTCTACTTGTCCTCAAACTACTCAAGCCATCTGCCATGCACTGCATTGGTAATATAGTAAGATTGGGCAAGCAATGTTCCCAATAACAACATAAGCCAATACAACGTAGGATTAAAGAAACCTTAGAAATAAGTATAGAACTATGAATTTAATGTCTGAGTTCAAATGAACTCCATATGATAGAACTAGTGTGCAGTAATAGTCCAATACAATGTCTTTTATGAAAAAGTACTGTTTAAACCGTAAGTTAGTGCACTTTTGTCTTCTGGTATCCAAATTGTTGTGATTCGGAAATGGATCATAAAGAATGAAGGAATCTCATCCAGGCCACTTATTTAGAAATAATGAATCAAAGTTCAATAACAAATATAGAGTAGCTTCTAATAATTGATCATCTCATACGATGGACAAATGTCTCAGACCCTCTAGTAGCATAATTATGTGTGTTTCTTAATGTTGGTTAAAAAAAACCTTCTAGAACTTAAGGTACGCGCTAATATCACCAAATATTACCTTGCAACGTGATTCAACAACACATGTAAAGACACTATGTGATCGGGAACTTTCTGCATTTATGCTTGTAGCACCAACCCTTCTGTTTGCAAGGCCCTGAATGGAAAGAAAAAAAGATTGATAAATATGGTAAATAATTAAACATGTAAACTCCAGTGCGTAGATCGATTGTCCAAATACAGGGGAAAAAACAAAAACTGGCATAGGGCACTGAATGCATGAAAAAAATATATCTCACTATATAACAAATCTAAATACCCATGCAGATAATAACTACACACTAACATGATGTTAAACACAATAATACAATAGCAGTATCTTGTTTTTGGAGAAAATAACACAATAAAAATACAAGCATTTATATACTAGATATGGACCCAATTGTTTAAGGAAAAACCAATGGACATGCTTGAGATAATCCTTTTGGCCAATGGATCATCTTCTTGTTGAATTTTATTTTTACAATCCCAAATCAAGTCTCTCAGATGTTTTGGTCACAGGACTGCTCTTTTTTCTTTTTTCTTTTTTTAAATGCTTTGCCGCAACCTACGGATAGTAAAATGTTTAGCAACCAAATAATCTGACATAATGCACAGGGGATGAGAAAAAACCAGTATCTATTATTTGAAACATGAAAAGCAGTTAACCAACCGTGAGAAAGAGGAACGCAAATACTTTGTCAATTTTCCTTGGATAAGACATTGTTAAGAAATTTCTAAACATTTGGAGAGCGAAGGCCTGCAATGGGCCCATTTCCCTGATTAGTCAACCAGAAACCAGATACACAATTGTCCTAATTGCACCTCAAAGATAACTAATATCTGTACAGAATCAGCATAAGTCAGTGGTGAAACAACCATTAAGAAACTTCTGCTACATTCATTTAATTCAATTTAATACCCTGACTTTTGGTTAAAACATGCACTTGGATAAGACATTCATAATAAATTTTTAAATGTTTGGAGGGTAAGGGACTGCTGTGGGCTCATTTCCCTGATTGGTCAACAAGAAACCAGAGACCCAATTGTCCTAATTGCACCTTGAAGATAACTGATATCTGTACAGAATCCACATAAGTCAGTGGTGCAACAACCATTAAAAAACTTCTGATATGTTCATTTAATTCATTTTAATATTAAGACTTCTTGATTAAAACATGTCTGAGCACAATTGCTAAAGAAATCCCTCAAACTCAACGTTCAAACTTCAAACAATAGCAGAAGCCAGATCTACCTTAGTCAAAAGATGTGTTACGTCCTTCATGGTACAAACAAGCTCCTCAGTTAGATTCTCGACATAGACACCAGACTTAACATCTTCTCTAATCTGATAAGAAGATGATATTGTATTATAAAGTGGCACAAGAAATCAAATAAATAAGCACCTGTATCATAAATTGGCACACGAAATCATAAATAGTTTCCAACAAGCATAATTTTTACCTGGAGGTTTCTCCCATTTGGATCCAGCAAATCAGTGATTTGTTCATTATAAATCTGTTGTGGAGAATGGGCTGACATTACATATAAGAAAATAAATGCAGAACCCCAAGAATATACTACTATTTAGCTTCACATGTTACCTCTAGAAAAGAACAGCGCAGCTGATAATTGAGCTGCTTGTCAGAGTGTTTAACTTGCTCCTACAAAGAAATTTCAGTAACATCAGTTACATCAAACAATAACATTTTATTTCTCAATTTTTATTCTCATTAAATTTTGGTTCTAGAAAAACTAAAAAAGAATCAGACATACTTCCTGAATCCTTGCAAACAAACACTCAAAGACACGAGGTGTAAGTCCCTGTTGTATTCCAGGAGAGTGCTCATTGACTAAAGCATTGGCAGGACCCCACATGGTATATGTTTTTCCACTTCCAGTCTAATTCATTAAAAAATCAAAAGGACAATTATTAGAAAAAGTTTATTTCCTCACAATATAAAATTGATGCTCAAAATTTGAGAAAAGTAGGCTTTACACTTTACACAAATTAAAATTACAACAACATGCTCCAAGTAACTGAGTTTGTACCTGTCCATAAGCAAATATGGAGCTATTAAACCCCGCTAAGCAATTCTCCACCAATGGAATGCCAACCAGCTGAAAAATATCTACCTGAAAAAAGCAAATGCAAAAAAAAAAAATGTTGAGATCATATTATCTCATTGCAAGGTAGTAACCAAGAAATCCTTTTTAAATTGAAAAAAATAAAATAAAAGGGAGACACATATAGAGCAAAAATTTCAAATAGCCCAGTTCCTATGTAGTATTAGTGCTCTTCAGATGCGGGGAAGGAAGTCTTTACTCCACAAAACTCGAAAGAAGTGAAAATCAAATGGGACAATGAAGACACCATCAGTTGCTGAAACAATGTGCTCTCACTGTTCCATTTTCAAAATTTTGTTTCTCACATGCAACCCATGATTGATGAACTTATCAGAAATCCCAGAAAGCAACAAAACATCATGAAAACTAATATCAATTTGGGGAAACTGAAGTTACCCATTTTCTCCTCACCTGTGTCGAGTCTGTTCCAGCTACTGAATCAAACGTGAATACTTGATCCAGAACTGACAAAGAACAAGGAGAAATTTTCTGTACGATCTTTTCTCCTTCCTCCTCGTCATTGCTCAAGGGCCTCATCCGCACGATTACCTAGTGAAAAGCATTGATATGAATAATCGTATAAAATAGCCACTAATATTGTAGATTAACTAAAAGACCAAAAAAAGGTAAAATAAATCACCTAGTTACTGCCGCAAGGGTAATCTACTTCTCCCAAAAATCTAGTCCAATATAGAGTCATTGACCAACAAAATGAGACAAGAACTAACCAAGAGCAAAATATGAGAAGCTATGATTTTTCAGAGATTCACAATTAAGCATAATGTGATCAAGAGTTGCAAAGAAATATTAGAGGCTAAGAAACACCAAATAGAAGAAGGGAACCTAATAAAGAAAACTACAAGACAAACAGCTTGTTACTGCCAAGTGGGGTCAATGTGGAATTATTGACAGCAAAATGTAACCCAGATTCATAAAGAAAACAAAGTCAACAAATGAGAAGAGAGAATTCAAGACGATTTCTGGATCCAGGAAAACTCATAAAATATGGGATAAATAATCAGCGACACACACCCCAAGTTCAAGAGATTTAAAGAAATGTTAGAAACAAACTGAAGAAGCCTAAATCAACAATTGAAGAAGCCAAGAATGCACAATTCCTCCCTCGTACCATGATCCAGAGGTTTTGTTAAAAGATAAAAAAAATCTAAGTATCAGATAATCAAATGAAGAAAACAAATCAGTGTACCTTAACCCCTGAATCTGAAGATACGGTGACACCATTTTCGGGGGCAGACTCCACGCATAACTTCCTCTTCAGAGAGTTAGGATTAGGGTTTGATGAAGGTGGTCTGGGTGGAAGGGGACTCTTCTTTACCATGGGTTTCCCTGAAATTTCAGACTGAGCATTTGTATCTGGAGGCATGTTCTCTTTTGAGCTTCGAGAAGTCCTAGACTTCTGAGAATGATTACTACTGGGGTATGGAGTTTCCGGCGATTGGATCCCCCTTAAAACCCCACCACTCCTTAGGCCCCCCGTTTTCATGGCTCTGGAATTGAACGAAGGTGGTGAAGTTGCAGAGAAAACCCTGGTTTTTCAAGCAGAGGGTCGAGGAATTGAAGAAAACTAAGGCTTTGTTCTTCGAATCCCTAGATACTTCAGGCTCTCTTAAAACCCTAGGGCGTGGAGAACAGGGCAAAAAAGAAAACCTAGGTTTTATTTTTTGAAAACGTTAATAGTTTTGATGACAAAGTTGAAGAAAAATTCTCGCAGAAAACGCTAAACCTGCTAAAATCGATAAAAACCCTAACAAGGTTAGGGTATTCTGGGTGAGAGAGAGAGAGGAGGGGGGGGAATAAAACGAAGTACAAATGGCAAGAGGCAACGGAGCAAAGCACATGGAGAAGTAGCCGTTATCTGCAAGGGGTTCCGAATTTGAAATGGGGATGGGGCCCTATTATTAACTATTTTTTATTTTATTTTTTCTATTTTTCGTGACGCTATTAAAAGTTGTAAACTCTGAGTTGGAAGTGAACGTTGGCTGCAAGAGAGAGACACTCTCTCTCTCTCTCCACATTTACAAATCATCTCTCTCTCTCATTTGTAAATCTAGTTTAGTGTTTCTGAAATTTAAATGACTTTTGGAAAAAAAAAAAAACTATAGATACCTCTAATTTGTATTTTATAAGCATCCCTCTCGCGAAAATGCTTTTGATATCACAATATTAATTCTAATATTGTTTATTTTTGCACCTATTCTCTTAGAAAAATAGTCAATTTTTTAGACTAAAATACTCCCCATTTTAACTCCACAAGTCCAAAATCTAACACCCTTCGTCTGGACCAGCTTGTGCCAAACAAGTTACTCACAAAAAGTGCCAGTTTGGTAAAAAATGTATCGGATCGACTTCTGATATTCAAATTATGTCAGATCGGCTGATATTGAAATTGTGTCGATCTGACACATTGTTCTATATTTAAGTTGGGGCGGTCCGGCATATTTTGTGTTGGATCGGTTTAGAGAGAGAAAGTGGGAAACATGCATTAAAATGATGTCATTTTGGTACTTTTTTGCTTGGGTAGATGGAAAAATAAATAATTAATATAGTCGATATGTTTGGGGGGCATATTTAGAAAGTCCAATTTGGGGTTATATATGACTTTTTTTTTTTTTTTTATTTATAGGTAGTCCAGTATGAAAAGGGTTCCCTTCATTTTGGAAATTGAGAAGGAAAATTACATCACTGCATGGTGTATGGCACACCACATGAAGATTCACATTCAATTTAAAGAACGGTGGCTATTAAACAATGGGGTTTTGGTCCTATTCAAGTGCGGTCTTCTTCCAAATTTAAAGGTGAATTTTGGATCTAAAATATAACACGTCGGAAATCTTAACCTCAAAAATTATGAATATCAAAAATAAATAAATTTAATTTTAAGCTAGATTAAACTAGTTTTTTTTTCTTAAATTCGATTTTAAACTATGTTTCCTAAGCTTTTTAAGATCATTATTTTTTTTTTTCTTTTAAACAATCTACTTTTAACCAATGGTTTAAAAAGCGGATTGGTGACCCGGATCGAGCACCTCAAAAATTGATCCGGATCTGCGAATCGGCGATCCGAATCGGGAATCGGCTGAATCGGTCGGATTAAAGCTTCAAAAAAATCCGAAAAAATTATTAAAATTCATTATAAATGTTGTATTTTAGGAATCCTATAAAAAATGAGGGTACTACATTATTAACTTTTATTTTTTTTATCAATTTGTGAATATTGAGATGTTCTTTCCCTGTATAAATTTATTTTAACTATTAAATTTGCATCACATAAAAGAAAAATCATATAATTATCATGGATAAAATATATAATTATATATGGATTATTATAAAGAGTAGACTAATCAATGAAAGAATGGCCATTAAAATCTCGTTTTCGCGAAAAACCCTAACCCGCTAAAAAAACCCAAACTATTACAACCTAACTAACTATAATCCAAAATCATTACAACCTCACTAATTATAATATTATATACTAAAATTATAATTATTAGTTTACATTTTATAATTATTTTATTAGACAAATTATAACAAATTAAAAATATTTTATAATATTGTCTAATTTAAAATGTATTATTGACAACTGTAAGAAAAATAGTACATTACATGATTTATAATGTAAAAATTCATAAATAAAATTAAAGATTTGGGTATCAATGTAAAAATTAATAAAATGCGCACAAATTTTGGAAATAACACTTCAATTTTTCAAAAATTTATTTTTTTAGGTTTCTATAATAAATTTAGTAAAAGAGATTGTTAGTAGAAAGATGGAGATTTCAAATAGAATAAACTTTTTCATTTTTATTTTTTTTATACCTTTCATATTATTTACAAAAATAATTATACCACTATATACCACAAAAATTAATTGTTATATAAAAAATTAATTTTTTTATTTTTCATTTTTTTATGTCTTTTATATTATTTACAAAAATATTTATATTTATACCAACCACTATATACACAACAAAAATATTTATATTTATACCAACCACTATATATACAACAAAAATGCAACACATGCCCAAGGGGATTCGAATACAACAAAAATATTTATATTTATACCAACCACTATATACACAACAAAAATGCAAAACATGCCCAAGAGGATTCGAATGCAACACATGCCCAAGGGGATGCCCAAGGGGATTCGACCTTGGGACCTCAAGTAAAAAAATCAAAATCATAACCATCAAGCCATCTAACTACATGTGATTATAAATTGCTGATTAATAAACTATATTTACATTTCGTTTTCATTTAATGATGTTTGGGAATTATCCCATATCGAAAGATGGGTATTCAAATTTGGTATATAAATATTTATGCAATATGAATTATAAAATATGTATAAGAATATTAGGGCAGCCTCACACGTGTGCACGTGTGAGTGTGCGTGGGGCACGCTTGCACGTGCGCTCGGACACACGTGTGCACGAGTGAGCGAGCGTGGGGCACGCTTGCACGTGCGCTCGGACACACGTGTGCATGAGTGAGTGTGCGTGGGGCACGCTCGCACGTGCGCTTGAACACACGTGTGCACGTGTGAGTGTGTGTGGGGCACGCTCGCACGTGTGCTCGGACACACGTGTGCACGTGTGAGTGTGTGTGGGCAC